AACTCCACCACCTGCGACTCCGTCTCGCAGCTGCAAAACGGGCACTGGACGGTGACGGTGACGATGTTTCCAAGGTTGCTGCTGTTGCTGCGGCTCAGCTAGCCTACGATTCAGCCAAGTCTGAGCATGGCCAATATGCCCGCGATCGACAGTTCGACTTCCATGCGAATTCGAATGAGCGGGGAACGTCTCATTTCTTTCGGAAGCCGTTGGGAACCAAGGTGCCCATCAACTGTGTCACCGTGGATGGGGTGATGATCACCGATGAGCCCACCGTCCAAACCACGTTCACGGCGCACTGGCGATCCATCATGGCGAGCCCACAGGATTCCAACCCACCAGATCACCACCGCCGTCGTGCTGTAATCGAGTCCCTCACGAAGCGACTCAACCTGGCTGATCGTGACAGTCTCGACCAGCCCATCACTGCGACTGAGCTGTGTGATGCCATGAAGACCATGAACCCATCCAAGTCGCCTGGTCCGGATGGCTGGTCAGCAGGGTTCTTTCAGGTGGCTCCTGAGATCTTCTCGGAACTGCTGCTTATGGTGTTTAACTACCAGCTCACCCACCATGGATGCCTGCTACCCCACCAACGCCGCAGTGCCATCACCCTGCTGCACAAGAGTGGTGACCGTGGCATGCCAGGCAACTACCGACCCATTTCCCTCATGCCCGTTGAGGTGAAAGTGCTTTCTCGTGCCCTGGCTTATCGTCTCGCTCGGCACGCACCACAGCTTATCCACCCCACCCAAGCTGGTTTTGTGCCCGGACGTCGACTCCATGACCACGTCACCATGGTGCAAGCACTCCAGCACTACTGCACGATGGAGGATGAAGACAGCTATGCCTCGTTTCTCGACTTCTCGAAGGCGTACGACATGGTGGATCAATCCTTCCTGTTTGACGTGCTTGAGGAGATGAATTTGGGTGCAAATTTCATCTCGTGGGTCCGTCTGCTGTACAAATCACCGGTGGCTCACCTCCTGTTCAACGGCACATTGGGCCCAGCCATCAGGCCAACTCGTGGAGTGAAACAAGGCTGCCCACTGTCATGTTTGCTGTTTGTGTTCTACCTGGAGCCTCTGGGTGACATGCTACGTGATCAACCACACCTTGGAATCACTCTGCCCCATGGAGAGTCCATGACTAGCATATTCTTTGCTGACGACTCCACCCTGCTATCGAAGGACCTGCCTGCTGCTGTGAAGCAACTGGGCATTGTCGAGGAGTTCTGTGCTGTGTCTGGTGCTCGGCTGAACCAAACCAAATGTCAAACCCTGGTTCTCAACGGCCACCTTGACCCTGCTGACACCGATGGTGGGGGTCTCCTGAACATTGTGCCCTCAGGCCAACCTGTCAAGTACCTCGGGCTCATGTTCGGCCACCGACTACCATCCGACTACCAGCTCAACCTCGTCAATGAGAGGTTCCTGTCCAGCTTCCAACATTGGGGTTGCCGTGCTCGCACACTGCAAGGACGTCGGCTGCTGGCCAACACAGTCATGTTATCACTCCTGTGGCATGTGACGGCTGCTCTTCCGGTGCCACCTGCAATGGTGCAGAGCTGGCAGTCCATGCTCAACCGATACATCCTCGGTCGGAAGACTGTCCCCACCGACCGTCACCACCCTATGTTGTCCTCCCCACTACAGTTTGACCTCAGGCTGGGTCTGGGGCTACCCCACGTGGCGTCCAGGATTCGTGCCCAACGGCTACAGCTCCTTCAGCGTGCCATGACCGTGTCAACTGCGGACCGACCGTTATGGCAGCCACTGGTGTTACGGCAGTTTGAGAGGTGCATGGGTCGGCTCCACCGTGCATCCAACCCATTCGACTTCCTGCTCTACCACCCACACCACAAGTCGAAGTGGCTCATGCTGTGGGAACTCCATCCACTGTGGATTGATGTGTGGAGACAATGGTCGGCTACACCGATGGATGGTCGCATTCAGCTGCCCCTCTCCAGTGCGACTATTATGAGTCTCCCAGTGTGGCTTACATAATTCGAGCGGTCCATGTCGAATGGGAAATGTGCTGCCAGCATCGTCAACTCGCCCACCACTCGTCGATGGTGTAGCCATGGTGCATCCAACCAGCTACGCTGTCTAGCTGACATCGTCGCTGTGCATGGTCGATGGCCGACTCGTGCAGAGTTCATGGCGATGATGTCTGATCGAAACCCAGCTGCCCAAGTGGAGATTGGCATGGATGGACGCATGCAATGGGCGACTGTGTACCGATCCGGGATGCTTTACAACCACCTCACCTGTGTCCATGCCAACGTACCTCCAACTCGAGCGTCCCGACGCTATCTGCTGCGCCTACGGCTGTGGTGCAGTGGAAACCCAATACCATGCATTCCACGCATGTCCCCACATCCACCCTGTATGGTCGTTTCACCGGGACGCCTGGCGACGCTATGGGGTATCATTTGCATGGTCGACTATCTCCGACCTGGACCTGTTCACGGTCAATGCAAGTGGTGACCGTCACAAAGATGCTCTCCAGACCCTGTGGATCCTCCTCACGGCATCCACCCTGCACCTCATATGGACCGAGCACAACAAGGTCCAATATGAGTCAGCGATTCCTCTGACGTCTGCTGCCTGGAACGGGCTGTCGTTCCTTGGCTGGACGATATCCGTCCGCCGATGGCTGCGCTTCCAAGTCCCCGACTGTCCACTGCGCTCCTCCGTCCTGCATGACCTTAACACCCTGCGTGCTCCTACCAACTACCGGCCATTGTGGGCCAAGTACCCGTACTCCCTCCACCTTGGGCTGACCTCCGCGGCCGACCAGCATGCCTAGCATTACCGACGCGATGGTGTCAAGTCCTGCATCTAGTCCTGCATCTAGTCCAACACCTCAGCCTACATCAAGACAGCATGGTACCCATCACCTTCAAGATGGTTGTTCCAAGAACGTTCTGCAGCCCATTACCCTCCCGCCGCTCTCATCGAAACTTCTGGCTCTCTCACCCACCCACGGTATTTATTGGTACCCCCACCTATTTATTGAAAACCTCTCAAAACCAGTGCCACCCTACGCACATGCTTTTGCATAGGCATTAGGAATTGGATGAGCCCATTGGGCAATATTAGTATTGGGATAAAACCTAATATAATCCTATTTGACACTGAGCTATGCTCGGACACATATTCGAAAGACCACATCATGCATATAACACGTATTTCATGCCCTATCAGCACCATGCTCTTTGCCCACGATCCTACGACGACACCGCCAACCGAAGTGATACTTCTGTAACCTCCTCGAATCGAACGTCAACACCTTCTTCACGTGTTTCGAGAGCTACTCCGTGTGCAGAGAGGATATCAACCAAACGATGGTTAACGTAGATGACCAGTTTATGGTGCACGGGACAGTTTAAGGTGCAATCAAACTGGCCAATGGAATTGCTCGATTTTTGGAATAGCCCATCGAATCACTAGTATAATGAAATAAAATAAAACTAAGCAAAAACTGCATACATACTTTTAAGCTTAAACCGTGCTCAATAAACCGTCCCTCATATTTTGCATTGACTTGAGTGGAAATCGAAGTAATGAACACCAAGCTGAAGTGTATTCAAGCCCATTAAATAACCAGGAGAATGCCCAACGTTTCGGCTTCATGCAGCACTTTTCATAATTTAGTTGACATGTCAGTTGCGAAGAGAAAAAACCTGTAAATACTTATTCAGTCAATATATTATTTTCTACAATACCTCGTTCGTAAACTATACCCATGAAACTTTATAAATCCTGCATTGATTTGCAGAAAGGCGGCAAGTTGCAACAATAATGGCGCCAACTCAGCTCGATGGCCGACGCACTGGGCGTCCTAGTACCAAGCAAAT